CACCTTTAAAAAAAGTATAACAACTCTTTTCACTTTACAAATGAGTAGACGACCTTATTTTCAAAATAATCCTTAACAATCAAAATAATCTGCAGACCCTAAGAATTGTGGAGGTATGTACCATTTTTTTGAAATCCATTAAGAAATGGCAAAGCTATACCATTTCAAACTTGCCGTTACACGTTTTTCGGAGGCATCGTATTCGGAGTGTTAAAAAACTCGTACTAGATGGAAGACGAGAAAAGAAAATTGATCCTGCACACCCACGTCGAAACCCCGACGTAGTCAATTCAAAATATCGTGAAAAAGTGTAAAACTGCCGTTTATAGAATAGATAAAGTGTCCGGATTCTAAGTGTACCAGACTTAGAAGTAGTTTCCAGAACATCTTCAAGGAAGTTCCCGGAAGCGTTCCTCAAGCTTTGCTTAGCAAGTTTCCATTAATTCTTTCAGATAGTTCATAGAACTTCCCCGAACTTTCAGGTAGATTTCCTCATATTTTCTTGCTCGGAAGTTCCACAAATTTCCTCTAAAACCTCCCCTAGGTAGTACCTAGGAGTTTCTGGAACTCTCATTAGTAAGTTCCCTGACCTTTCCCTAGTAGTTCCCTGAAATTTGTCAAAGAAGTTCCCAAAACTTCCTCTAGAATGATTCTTGAACTTCCCGTTGAATTTAAATTAGGACTTCCCCAAATCTTCTTCCAGGTTGACTTCAAAATTTCCGCAACGAAGATCGCTAAACTTGCCTTAAGATGTTTCCAAAACCTTCACTGTAGAACATTTCCAGCTCAAAAAGCAAAAAAAAATGTCAGTTTTGTCTCGACCCTTTCCGATTTGAATGAAACATGGCTCACATGTTCGCTGGTACCAATGCCAATGGTTGCATTTTTCATCTAAATAGATTTTTTTTCAAGAGTAACTTTTGGAAAGGGCGTGTTCAAAAAAATGGATAATATTTTTCAAAAAAGCGTATCATAAAAATGATTGATCTGATAAAAATGACATCTGAAAAGAAGCTGATGTTCTTCGAGAAAAAATATGTACTGAAAGAGAAAAAACTCAGTAAATTCATAACAAAATAAAACATGAAACTTTGATTTCCTCAAAACACCCTCTCTTCAATTTTTTTTCGTTAAATTATATTTAAATGAAATATACCACGATTGGTAACAGCGAACGTATGAGTCAAATCGGAAACTTCATATCAAATCGTTTGCGTATTGGGCTGGATTTCCTAAAACTTCCCCTAGGAAGATTCCAGAAATTTTCTAAATAAAGGAGGATCAAACTATCTGATTTTAGCTTAACAGTCAATTTCTCAACAGAGTCACCCTTAGTTCATTAGGAAAAGGCACAGCTACACGCATACCAAAAAATATTACATTCAATGTTAGTAGCATTTTCTATCATTCTACGCAGCGAATACCGTAGAGAATGATATGAGTTGGCCATGCAGACGATGTAATGATATTTTTTTAAATCTTTTTTTATTTCGTATTCAGTCTGCGCTTTCGAATACACCACCAAGCTTTTTATTTATTACAATGTACAACGAGGCACACATTTTCTTCAGCAGAAAGAGCATGCGGAATCAAATTATCGTACTATGAGCGCTTCTTTTTCGCTTTTAGCCAATCCATGTTCCGAAGCACGGAGAGAGCAGTAGAGAAAGCACAGGTCTGTTAATTGCAACGTTCGTGGTTCGAGTCCAGTCGGCACCCTTTTTTAATTTTTTTTTTCGTCATAGTTCATTTCTCTCACTCACTCCACTCCACAGACGATGCTCGAGGTGGCTGAGTTTGATTCCCATTCTGGTTGAGGATTTTTTCGGTTTGAAAAATTTCTCAACTTCCCTGAGAATAGAATATGAGTGTACTTGCCACCCAATTATACTAATGCAAAAATGGTACAGCCATCGAAATCTCGTAACTAATAAATGTGGAAGTGAATCTATAACACTAAGTTGAGAGCACGCAATAAAGGGTGATACGGTCAAAATTTGGTCAATATCAACTTGACGTATTTCTTTCAATTTTGCATTTAAAAAACCTGAATACCCCTCATTTTGAAGGTGTGTGTGTGTAGAATGTTGCTCCTATTTTGATTTTGGAATTCACTCTTCAGTTGTCAAAATGCCGTCCAAGCAAGAAGAGCAGCGTATCAAAATTTTGCTCGCGCATCGCGAAAATCCGAGCTACTCGCACGCAAAGTTGGCAAAATCGCTAAAAGTTGCCAAATCAACCGTTACAAATGTAATTAAAGTGTTTGGGGAACGTTTGTCGACAGCCAGGAAGTCTGGATCGGGGAGAAATCGAAAACCGGAAGCCGCTGAGACGACAAAGAGAGTTGCCGGTAGTTTCAAGCGAAACCCTAACCTCTCTCTCCGAGATGCCGCAAATAAGCTGGGTGTATCGTCTACAACCGTGCATCGAGCCAAAAAACGAGCCGGACTATCGACTTACAAGAAGGTAGTGACTCCAAATCGCGATGATAAACAAAATACGACGGCCAAAGCGCGATCCCGGAGGCTGTACACGACGATGCTGACGAAGTTTGACTGCGTGGTAATGGACGACGAAACCAACGTCAAAGCCGACTACAAGCAGCTTCCGGGACAGGAGTTTTATACGGCAAAAGGAAGGGGAAAGGTAGCAGATGTTTTCAAGCACATGAAACTGTCAAAGTTCGCAAAGAAATATCTGGTTTGGCAAGCCATCTGTACCTGTGGCTTGAAAAGCAGCATTTTCATAGCTTCCGGGACTGGCAACCAAGAAATTTACGTGAAAGAGTGTTTGAATAAACGTCTGCTGCCTTTCCTGAAGAAACACGGTTGTTCCGTACTGTTTTGGCCGGATTTGGCATCTTGCCATTACGGTAAAAAGGCCATGGAGTGGTACGCCGCCAACAACGTGCAGGTGGTTCCCAAGGACAAGAACCCTCCCAACACGCCAGAGCTCCGCCCAATTGAGAAATACTGGGCTATTGTCAAGCGGCACCTAAAGAAGACCAAAAAAACTGCTAAGGGCGAGCAGCAGTTCAAGGCAAACTGGCTTTCTGCGGCGAAGAAGGTGGACAAGGTGGCTGTACAAAATCTGATGGCAGGGGTCAAGCGTAAGGCCCGGCAATTCGGATTTGGAAAAGCGGAAGCCTAACTGAATATTTTTCCTGAATTTTATACTAATTGAACTTGAAAAAGAAATTTAATTTGATTTTTTAAATAAACGATTTCACCGATTTACACGCGTTTTCCCTTGACCAAATTTTGACCGTATCACCCTTTAAGCTTAAAATGCAAAGAAGAAGAATATGTCAATTTCGCTGATTTATAACGACACGTTTGTTATTCGTGGGAATGTTTCTAAAAATATTGGTTAAGAATTTGCAATTAAGTTAATCGATAGGCTGCAGATCAAGTTAATATCATACCTGAATATAGTTCCACAAGAGCATAATAATCGATTCTCATCACGCGTCGTGGACAGCAGTTAACTGCAATTAGCCCCAGCTGGAGTGCGAATCCCAGTCGCATAAATCGCCATAATGAGACTCATCATTAATTTTATACCGCACCTACGCGAAGACCGTGATCAAAAACTAATAATGGCGACAATCAAATTTAATTTTCCTTGACACCGGAAGCAATCTCCCTCCCCGCTGCGCAAAGCACCATTAAATGTTAATTATTGAACACACAGATTAATTAATGCTTCGTAAATATTAACCAAAAGCTCTCGGCCAGGAAAATAAAAAATGAAAAATAACCGCCCAAAATAAAAACAATAATTTCGTTCAAACAGAACAGCGCCAGAAAAAAATCTCCACCCCGAAACCGCCCATGTTCAATTGATCCAATTTCGGGATGGAGGATAAACAAGTGACGACGACGACGACGACAACTTGGCTGTGGATTCGGCCACCCACTTGGGGGAAATCAATTTTAAATGAGAGTTTACGTTCACTTATCAACCTGATTTTCAGCCCAAATGAGTTGCTTTTGTGCTCATTTGCACATTTGGGCAGGACCGGCAATGGAACCATCTGGATGATGGTGAGTACCAAGTGGGTCGCTGGTTCAGGACAGGTGACATATCAAACCTCTGACTGTTTAAAAATTGAAAACCTAGAGAAAAAAAAACAAGAGCTGAACTGAATGGGTCCCAAAATTAAAATCAACCGCTTATGACGATTCGAAATGTGCGTTTTCTACGTGGCGTCGTCGCTTGGGTTGGTGCAATCTGTACACGAATAGGACTGTCAGTGCGTCCACTGCATGGATGGCACTGACTGGTAGGATTCTTTTGTTGGTGACTGGGATGAGTGGAATGGATTTGCATCTGACGTTCTCTTCTCCACAGGGCGTATGGGATTTGTATGGGAGCGATTGAGGGGGTGGTGGTGGAGTGTAGGTGAAATCCATTTAATATCTGTACGTGAGTTTTTCCGCCAAAGGGAATTCGGTCTACATGTTGCAGTGGTACAATCTGAAGGACTTGAACGGAAACGATAGAATGATTTTAATTTTGAATCTACTTTTGAAACTTTTTTCTGTTGTGCTGATTTCAGTGATGTGTAAGGCGTTTGAATGCTTTGATTACAAATGAGCCAAATTCAGGACTGTACAAGATATTCAAAATTTGAGCCGCTAAATCCACGATTTCTCTAAAGAAATCCACGACTTCATATTCTAATCCGAGGCAAATGAAAAACTCTTTTGATTGTTGAAAAATACCGTTTGTATTACTGCTACATGGCATCGCACTTATTTAAAATAGTTTCAGTGCACCAACATTGATGTAATTTTGAATTTCGGTTCTATTTTTTATGCAGATTACGAATATTTACCTCAATACCCTTGAACAACCCAATTTACCACAATCAAAATTTGAACAAACGCCAAAGCGGTCAGTCGAAAATCTCGCCTCCAATAATTACGCAATCTCCATTCCACGAGTGAGACTGAGCCGACCACCTGAAACCCCGTTTGCAAGTGTGAGATACTTACTGACTTTGTTGGCCCCTCGAAGCACTATATCCTCCACGATACCGACGAAGCCGCACTGCTGCACCTTCAACTCCGAAACAAACTGGGACCAATTTTTGGGCATCTCCTTCGAGGACTTCATGAAGAAGAAGATCAGCACCGCGATCACCAATCCAATAGCGACATACAATAGCAGAGCCATGTCTGTTTACTTGCCTTTGCACTGTTTTTTCTCGAAAATCACTTCCCACAATCACACCCAACTGTAACGGTTTGCTCTGTACACTCCGGAAGTGACCCAGTAAATATCGCACTCACTGACTGAGGTATCTAACGGTAGTCACCACCAAAATAGTATTCGCTTGTTCCACGTACACTTTACGGCTATATGTTTTTCAAACCACGACCACGACGGCGGTGACGACGACGACGTGAACCGCCACGGACGAACTTCTGCAATGTTGTGCGATCCGAGAAACCCGCAGCGATCGATTGAGGTGGTTTGGCTGATGGCGGACAATAATTTCGATCCAGACGATTTCGCTGCTAAGATCAGGTTCGTCGCTTGCCGTCCGAGTGAGAGACTTGTTTTCGGGAGTTTCGTCATGCGTGGCTAACGAACTGTTTTCGGCCGTTGGTTGTTGGTGAGTTCGGGCGATTACACACCACAGTGGTGCTCTGTCTGTCTGCGGGGAAGAGAAATGGATAGATGCAAAGTTAGAGATTTCAACTCGATTGTGGTTTCGTCGTTTCGACGCGGTCCATCGGAGAACCGGTTAAACGTTACGTCATTCGGACCCGAACCCTTATTTCTAGCCTGCGCTTCAATCTATTGTTGTCCACTTGAGTTACCTTTTCCGCAAATGTTTACCCTACAATGCGAGAGGTAATGTAAATATTTGACGATTTTGTGAGTCACCTGCAGTTTGAGCGAACACAGCTCCAAGTTTTGCAGGTTTGACCGAAGAACTTTGGAGCAAAATTGCCCACATATTGCGCCAGAAACACCAACTGTTTGAACAAAATTACTTTTGTTATTGAACTTCTTATTCGCAGCCATCAAACAGCGATGGCAGCTATTTTTTTTCTTGCCTTGATTTTTTTTCATCTTTCATCAACGCGTAATTGGAAGGAAATACTCATGCTTACACGCTATTTCAAAACTAACCCAAATTTGGGTAGAATACAGCCTGATCGGTGAAAGCAGAACCCACCTGAGAGCCTGAATTCGATCCGTGTTGTTCATTTGTCATTCAGATTAGTTTACCATTTTTGAGTAGGTTCAGTTTCGACCGATTTGCGGCGATTCTACTCAAATTTGGGCTAGTTTTGAAATAGCGTGTAGCCCACAATGGTCACAGTCGTCGATGGTGGTGGTTTTTGTGTGCGATATTACCATCTAATTTCACACCCCGCCTGCTCCCACTGCAGCACACATTCGCTTCGAGGAGAGTCATTTGTCGATGTTTGAAAGATTTTGCGTCAAGCTGGTTTGTTTTTTCGTCTGTAATCCGGCGGCGGCTGTTTCCATAAGAAAGACAAATAGACTTGGTAATATTGGCGCTGTTGTTCGATGGAACCTCACTTTTTTTTTTGTTACTCAGCAGCCCGTGCATGGACCAAGATTGAGTGCTGAGACTCTAATTGCGCTCTTACGCTTACGCCACGTTCAAGTTCAAGATGAGCGAGAACAATTGACTGACCTTGGAGCTATTGCCGTGGAGAGTTTGATGGCTGTTTGCCGTTCACCGCTGGGTAAGACACGTTTCAAGTTTTGATTTTGGGTAAGACGTGACCATCTGGACGAGCTTGACTTTTGTTTCTGAAGAGGAGATTAATATTTGAATGTAGTTTGCAGCGACTATGGTTGAATGGTTCGAGAACCAACTGTCATGGTGTTCGAGAAACGAACATAATTATCCTCTGTTAAAAGCCACGCAAATGTTTACGTACTTAACATCATTTGATTTCATAGATGACCTATGATCGTACAGTGGAAGGCATGGCCCACAGTAGGGCGAGTACTATTAAAATCCACCACCGATAATGCTTTCTTTCGATTAAGATAAGAATCATATATAAGCCAAATAGTAAAACAATAATTTTTGGCACGACCGTCTCCGATTTGCATGAATCTTTGCATAATCGTCTGTTATGGGCAACCATTTGCATTTATGCTGAAATTCTGCCATTTTTGATTTTTTTTTTATCTAGTTCCTTTAGGCTCAATCAAATTAGCTTTACCGAGCCGATAGTTCATTCACAGACAAACAGACATAACACTCGAAAGTTGTTCATCGAACAAGCATTCAACGGTCAATTTAAAAGTGTATCGTAGTTGGTAGTACCGGCACCTGTGGCGCGCATAGTCAATTCCCTTGTGTTTGACGTTTACACACTACCGCCATCTGGTCAGCGTAGTGCCCACCACAGTGTACTCAACAGATGGCGGTAATGTTTTAGCGACGATGTTTTACAGTAAAAACTATTCAATGTGTTATTTCTGTTTGTCTGTGGTTCATTGTTCATTTTTTCTAACCAAACTAACTTATTTCTATGTCTAGTAGGAGTTGACCCAAACACAAGCCAGACGGTGGAACTCAGAACTTCGCGTTCGTGGAGAACTTTGTAGGATCATCCTAAGGATCTTATTCTGGATCCTTTGGAGTTTAAGGTGATGGCATTTGGCACAACTCCCCCGATTGACATACCGTGCTCGATTACGGGAAGGATGATTTGCTTGTAGACAGCAAGCTTATTTTGCAGGGACAGGGTGAACTGCCTGTTGATACGTGGATACAACGATCTTATCAAGATGTTGCACTTGGTTTTCGTTGCGTCAACATGCTTCCTGAAAAGCAGCCCACTGTCTTTTTTTTCATACAGGAGGGAATCTGCTCACAGAGACCTGTGAAAGTAACTCAGGGTGTGGTGATGAGAGAATTGCACAATCCCAACCTGTGCGCTTGGCCTTGACCTCCCCGGAACCGCCCGAAGGCATTACTTCGTGGGAGGGGCCTGTGCGTTATAGCGCTCCTCTAGCCATACTCTAACGCTCTAGTCGGGCAGTAGGCAACTGCTGCTCGGCACGCCACACTCGTTGTAGTTCCGAAACTATGTGGGTAACCGCAGTCACCCCCGCGCTCCAGATCTCGGTGGTACCCCACATCCTAGGGACGATGTTATCCGGACTGGTATCCGCTCCGCATATCGCTAGCATAAAGTTCATTACTGGCTCGAAGCGTGGACAGGCAAACACAACATGTTCCACCGTCTTTTCGACGCCAGCACACGCGGGGCAGGTGGGAGTACTTGCATGTCCGAACCTATGCAAGTAACTCCTAAAGCAGCCATGGCCTGACAGGAACTGTGTCAGGTGCAAGTTTACTTCCCCGTGGCACCTGTTGACCCAGCTTGATACGGAAGGTATCAAGCGATAGGTCCGCCTCCCCTTTGAAATCGCTACCGCGCGTGCGTTGTTGCGCACCCCTCGAGCGGTCCTCGTGTCATAGCACTCCACATCCTCCTTGATGATGAGGCCGATTGGCATCATTCCTGCTATGACACAGACGGCCTCCCTCGAGATGGTGCGGTATGCACTGGCCACCCTCAAGCACATTAGCCTATGTGTACTCTCTAATTTCCGCCTGTGGCAGTCAGTATACAGTACCGCAGCCCACGCAGGGCCTCCGTATCTGAGGATAGATACTATAACCCCAGCGAGGAGCCTGCGCTTACTGGCACTCACCGCCGAGCTGTTTCACATCATGCGGGATAATGCTCCCACAGCCGTGGACGCTATCTTGCAGGCGTACTCGACGTGGCAGCCGAAGCTGAGCTTATCATCGAGCATAACCTCCAAGAGTTTCAGAGAGCGCACATACCTAATTGTGCTCTCGCCGACTGTCAACGTCGCATGCATACCGACATGCGATTGTTGACTACGACCACCTCCGTCTTGTGATGGACAAGCTCCAGTTTCCTGGATCTCATCCATTCCTCCACAAGCTTAACGGAGCGAGCCGCTGTCAGCTCTACCTCTTCGAGGGATTCCCCGTAGACTATCAGCGTGACATCGTTGGAAAAACCAACAATTTTCACGCCTACTGGGAATCTTATCCTCAACACTCCGTCGTACATGACGTTCCATAACACCGGGCCCAGGATGGAGCCTGCGGTGACTCTAACGCATTTTTCGCCATCTTCTGTGTCATTCTTCAACACACGATTCTGGAAGTAGCTTTCCAGAATCTTGTACAGCCCTCCGGGGATTCGGAGCTGGTGAAGCGAGCGGACTATCGCCCCCAGCACGCGCTGTTGAACGCGTTCTTCACGCCTAGGGTTACCACCGCGCAGTAACGAATACCCCTTCTTTTCCGATGGACCATCTCTGCCGTCTGTATGACGTCGCGGATGGCTTCCACCGTAGGTCTGCCTTTTCGAAACCCGTACTGGCTGCTTGACAGGCCGTCTACACCTTCGGTGTAAGCCGACAGCCTGTTGAGGATGACCCTCTCAAGCAGTTTACCAGTGGTGTGCAGCAAACTGATGGGCCTGTATGCTGACGGGTCACCAGGGGGTTTTCCAGACTTCGGGAGAAGCACCAGCCTCTGCCACTTCCACGCATCTGGGAAGATGCCTACGTCCAGACAGGTCTGAAATACAGACCTGAACATGTCTGGATTTTCCGCAACGGCCACCCTCAGAGCCACAACCGGGATCCCATCCGGGCCCGGGGCCTTGTTCACCACCAGCGACTTGGCAATGTCGGTCAGTTCACTGTTAGTCACTCTAGACACTACTCCCTGTTCCGCGACTGGGATACCCCACTGTCTAGAGTTAGTCCGAGGTAGACTACCTCTTTGGACCATTCTACCACTGTGCCGTTAACTCAGATTTTGCTAAATAGATTGAACAGGATGGGCCCAAGGATACTTTCTTGCACCGATGGTAAAGGCATCCGATGTGATGCCATTCAGAGAGTCTCGGAACGTCCTGTCCGACAGATATTTTTTTATGATCTTCACGAGGAAGATCGGAAGATCGTATCGATGCAACTTGTACACCAGGCCATCAAAACGCTTTTTCAACGTCTTACAATGCCATGACAGGTGTTTTAGAAACAGCCTTGTTCCGTCTAAGAATGTTTGTTACTCGGGACAGTAGGTGGACGGTCAATCGACCTTTTCGAAGGCCAGCTGTTAACTGCCCTTTCGAACAGCGATGGGTATGAATTTAGCTGACTTCCATTCCAAGGGTAAGTAGCCAAGTCGGAGGCACTGATTGAAAAACCTGGAACTCAAATGTTTGAGTTCCAGATTGTGGATGTTGTCGAAACCTGGGGCATTCATGTTTTTGGATGATTTGATGTAGGCCAACAGTTCGTCAGCTGTGATCTTGGAGTCCTCAGGAAAGATGATGGGAATCTGATGGAGTTTGGCTGCGCTTTAAGCAACCGCAGCCTCGTGTCGACTTATGCTGTTCTGTCCTATCACTCCAGCTTCTCTACAGGGGTTATCAGATGAATCTCTGAATCGTTGGAACGGTATCGGTATCGGTATAGCACAATCTGGAAGAGAGCGGATCTTACTAGCAAAGCCGTTATTTCTGAGATAATTTTGGTAAAGCGATTGCAATTGGTCTTATGGACAGGCAGACCAGAACGTTGGTACTGCCTTCGGATGGT